CTGAGAACAATTTAAGTATCAGCTGATCCTTTCAAGTAGTTATTTTCAACTTTTAAATGCACCTTGAGAGAACCCTTGGTATAGATACTGGTAGTTACAACGGGCTAATGAAATATTTGAAGGCCTAAAATTGGCATATGGAATACACATTTCTGAATTATGATCCAAATCATGTGCATACATTTAATGGCCTATAGTAATGAAAAGAGCTATAGTTTAACACAGTTGGTGTAAGAGTTCCCTTCTTCTCCCAAATCACAACCCAAACCACACTGGTATTCAATGTTAAAAGAAAAAGTGTGAGTGTGTGAGTGTGTGTGTGAGTGTGTGTGAGTGAGTGTGTGTGAGTGTGTGTGTGAGTGTGTGAGTGTGTGAGTGTGTGTGTGAGTGTGAGTGTGTGAGTATGTGTGAGTGTGTGAGTGTGTGTGAGTGTGAGTGTGTGTGTGAGTGTGAGTGTGTGAGTGTGTGAGTGTGTGTGAGAGTGTGTGTGTGTGAGTGTGTGTGTGTGTGAGTGTGTGTGTGAGTGTGTGTGAGTGTGTGTGTGTGTGTGTGTGTGTAAGTGTGTGTGTGTGAGTGTGTAGGAGGGGAACTGCTGGGAGGGAGAGGAAGAAGAGAAAGATGTTTCCTTCGTAAGTAAGAAGGAAAAATGTCAGAGATGAAGTTTCCCTCGGTCACATCATTAGAAAGTATCACAGATGAGGTTACAATCAGCTTTATCCTTTGTCTAAATGTCACAATTCTTCCCTTTCAGTTCACCACTTGAAGTACAGAAGGAACAGCCTTACTTCTCAAAGATACCCCTTGACCACCGAGGTTACTCAGCACTTGTTTTTTCTCTGATTCTCAGATACTGATGTTGCTCAGCCTCTCTGAGCTGCCTATTCTCAAGGAAGTGCTATGAAAAGTCTTCAGGGAATTCTCAGTCTTGGCAAGAGCCCCAGAGGATAACTCCCAGGTACTTTAAAAGGGCATTGTGTTTTAAACAGAGGTTTTTCTTATAGCTGCCTGCCTTCTGGCCCCACATTCTGGATGAAAGCACCTCACTCAAGTCCTTTTCTATCAGGCTGGCCAGGTATGTACTAGCAGCCAGATCACAAAGGGGACAGTCAGCGACTCCACGATGACTGTGTCTATAGGACAGAGCTGTACACCGAGTGCTGAATCAGTTGCTAAATTCCTGTATCACATTAGTCCAGGCAGCTTCAAGAGCCAAGTCAGGCTGCACACCAGATTTCCCATTTCAGTCCTAGATTTGTGATCTTGTGGTAATCAGATTCACCATTGCATTTTTTTATTCTTATTTTTCATTTTACAACATTGTGGGTATAGAGCTTACCCCATTTCCCTCCCTTTTCTCCCTTCTCCATCTTTCCTCCCCATTGTTCTCTGTGTTGTACAATAATATAATCATTCAGCTGCTGTCTCAGCTCCAGCATTCTGCTGCTCTTTACAAGTGTTATGACATTGTAGGTGTAAGCAACTCCATTGCATTTAATTACCTCTGCTTCTCATCTCTTTCTTAGCATTTGGGGCACAGTTCCTTGTGTCTAAAAAAGTTGGAACTGTAATTACATTTTTGGGCTCATATTGCATTTTGATAACTGAATATTAAAGTTGATTTGGCAGCTTTTTGTGGCCATCTGTGCAAGGTTGCAAGCTGCTTGTAGTAGTCAATCTTTGTATGACATTGCAATAGGAACAGAAGTCAGAGAGGGAGAAGCAGTGGGTCATCAAGATCAGTGCTCAGCCTTCTCTCTTCCTCCCTGCTCCTTCGTCTCCTCCTCCTTCCTCCTCCTTTTCTTCTTCTTCTTCTCTTCTCCTTCGCCTCCTTCGCCTCCTCCGTCTCCGTTTTCTTTCTCTCTCCCTCTTTATCTCTCTTTGTCTCTCAGCTCCTCCTCCTCCCTCCTTCCACTCTTTCACACCTTCAGATGACATCCCTTTATTCCAGTACTAGAGTTGAATAAATAATATAGGCTATACCATATAGCCTAGTGAAAGAATTTTTGACATTTCACTAATTTGTTGGTCTACAGGTGAGAACCATTAAAAGAACATGCAAAGTCGCAGCACTGAAAAATCATTCCATTCAATTTCTCTTACACGTCCTCTGTCTCTCAGTAGATTATGAACCTCCAAATCTGTGCCACAGTTTCAAGTTCTTCTGCTTCTTTGGTAACAATGAAGGTTTGCCTCTTGATGCCTTGTGTATTTCCTCCATACAACCCCAAATGTAAAGCACAAGGAATATATTAAGGAGAAGAAATAGTAGTAGCTAGAACACTGTGGGTGCAATTTCTCACCTGGCATCCAGATTCAACTTCCCTTTTGGCTTTCAAAGAGTTTGTGGAAAAGGTGTATTATGAATCAAGTCCATAGATCTCAAACAAGTTTCACCAAATTAGGCATGTTTTAATTCCATTTACCCCATGAATGTTTTGAAATATAGATGCTCTCCTTTTCTCACACTCTTCCAAATGGCTCAGTGTAAGATGGAGGGAAGCAGTATTTCCAGTGAGTCAGTTGCCGCAAGACCACATAAAACGTAGACTTTTGTTTGTTATCTCATGGGAAGTCTCCCGCCATTTGTGCTAAAATTTCCCTATGATTATTCTCTTAATCACCATTCTCAACCACAGAAGGAGCTTGTATAAGCTCAGGCAAAGATTGGGCTATTTCCCTATTATCCCCTTTAGTTCTTCCTCCTTCCTCACTGGCCCTGTTCACGCCCTTCCTTGTTTCTCCTTTGGATTCGTAAAACACAAGTGGTTTTATTACCTCGTTATTTTACCAGTGTGTCATCATTACCTCTTTAGTTTGAAGCGTGAAAAGCAAAAACTGGGAAAGGACTTTGTTATTTCTTTGACTCCTTTGTTTTCATTCCTCCTTTACCTTACTAAGAAGAGGACAGCTTTTTGAAAGGATATCCTCAACTTCACATCTTTCTTCTTTAAAAAAGAAAATCTGGCTCATTTTACTCATTGGTAGATTTTTCTCTTAGAGGGGAATTTTATAGGATATAAACTTTGTACTTATTCTGTCCTAACTTACTGACAAATTCTTACAAACCTTTTCCAGGCTGTTCAAATATTCTCTGAAAGAGTCATGATGATTCACCATCATAAGCATGATTTGTCTTTAAGAACCCTTATCCTACTTAATCTATTTTTTTAAAGTAACATCTTTTACCTATTGGCTTCCCATTCTATTTTCTGCTGTTTGTTTCCTGATAGCTGGCTCTTGTGTAACTCTAACATTAAACCCCTGCTCAGCACACTTTAACCAGGAATTATTTTCTACACTTGTCTACATTGTGTCTCAAAGTAAACTCAGTTACCAAAAAGTTCCTCTCAGTTACTGTCCATTTCAGCTTATCCAGTGTTGTTGATGTGCAAATGAATATCCTGGACTTGTCCAAGGTAGGTTTTATTTAATTAATTAATTTATTTATATTTATATTTTTCAATTCTCCAACTCTTTTGCCAGCTATCTTTTCATGCAATAACCATAGGAAATATGATATAAAGAGCAATAGCAGAGATTCTGGCAAACGAATCTCATCACTACGTGCTCCATATACTTAGCCAGGTCACTTTGCCTCTATAAGCCACAATTTTCTCATTTACATTGTTCCTGAAGGCAGAACCTGGTAAAATAAAATTGGTGTCAAAGATAAATGACATAACAAACATTCAGTATTAAAAAGGGAACATGTATATGCTATATTTTTAAAGTCTTACATGTATATGATCAACAATACACCTATATATATGGAGTATGCATATTGATAGAGCATTTGTTAACATAATTAAATAAAAATTCTGAAATCAGAGCAAAGAAAAACCCTGTTTAAATATAATAAGATCAGGAGGCTGACATTGGAACATAGTAGGTAAACCCACTGACTGAAAGCCCAACATTCAATACAGGTTTGTGTCCCAGCTGCTCAATATCCAATCCAGCCAGGTGCAAATGTTTGACCCCTGCCATACATTTTCTCTCTCTCCCTTCCTCCTTCCCTCCCTCCTTCTCCCCACTTTGCAATTCTTTTAAATGAATAAATATTAAAATAAATGAATATTATAGGATCAGAACTATATTTAGACATATATCTCCAAGCCCCAGGGAAAGCTAACTCCGAGAACCTTCATATTTAGCTTTTGCACTCTAAGCTGAAGGTCAGAGGCTTTTCCTGGCTATTTAGGAGTTCTTTATAATGCTTCCTGTGCTTTTTATGTAGCACATAACCCTTCTCCATCCCCAAGCACACCTTAAGATGTGGCTTAACCACCCTGTTAGTAGCACATATCCCTGCTGGTGGCCCTCAGAACCTCAACCTGCCCCACCCAAGTATAGTCTTCTGATGATTGTTCATAGGTTATTCTAAGGCGGGTTCTTCAGTTCCAGGTCTGAGTTTTTGCATTCTATCATGTGACTCTTCACCATCAGCATCCACTCTGCAGATCTGAAGAGAGATCACTGTGGTCACAAATTGCAAGTCCGAGGAGTTCAACATGCATTTACTAAGTAGTTCCCTACTCTCCTGTGAAGGTGAGACCATGGCATGAAACAAAGCCTACAGGCACATTACAAACACATTTCAAGGTTTCTAATACATACTTTATCCTAGCAGACAATTATACAAAAATGATGTATGTTTCCAGTTGCCCACATGTATAATAAAGACTCTAAATGCATTAGTAATTGAGTTGACGAATTTTTCAGGGAGGCGCACAAGAAAAAAGGTGCCATCTGAGAGGATGTCATTGACCTCAGAGATGCCAACACTGGTGTACATCTTTCGTGAGACTACGTTATGTGATTTATGTAGGCTATATGATTTTACCTCAGAAGCTTCTTCCCAAGCCCTCTAGAAAAGGCTAATAGGTCAGATCCCTAACTCTTTCTCATACTGTCAACATACTCCTTCCAGTTCACTGATACAGGTATTTTTGGGAATCCCATTCTATCTTGCAGGTTGTTGAATCCAAGATTATAAAGCCATGAGCATCCCTCACAATGGCAGCCTCCAGAAAGACACCTTCTTCCTGACAGGCTTCCAAGGTCTGGAGAATCTTCATGGCTGGATCTCTATACCCTTCTGCTCCATCTACTTGACAGTTATTTTGGGAAACCTTACCATCCTTCATGTTATTCGTACAGATGCCAGCCTTCACGAACCCATGTACTATTTCTTGGGCATGCTGGCCATCACAGACTTAGGCCTTTGCCTTTCTACACTGCCCACTGTGCTGGGCATCTTCTGGTTTGATGCCAGAGAGATTGGCATCCCTGCCTGCTTTACTCAGCTCTTTTTTATCCACACACTGTCTCTAGTAGAATCATCAGTTCTACTATCCATGTCCATCGACCGCTACGTGGCCATTTGTAACCCATTGCGTTACTCCACCATCCTGACACCTGCTCGGATTGTCAAGATGGGGCTGAGCTCCTTGGTCAGAAGTGCCCTTCTCATCCTCCCCTTACCTTTCCTCCTTAAACGTTTTCAGTACTGCCGCTCCCATGTGCTAGCTCACGCCTATTGTTTACACCTGGAGATTATGAAGCTGGCCTGCTCTAGCATCATTGTGAATCACATCTATGGGCTCTTTGTTGTGGCTTGCACTGTGGGTGTGGACTCCCTCCTCATCTTCCTGTCCTATGCTCTCATCTTGCGCACCGTGCTGAGCATCGCCTCCCGCCAGGAGAGACTCCGGGCCCTCAACACCTGCGTCTCCCATATCTGTGCTGTGCTGCTCTTCTACATCCCCATGATCGGCTTGTCACTTGTACACCGCTTTGGTGAACATCTGCCCCGCATCGTACACCTCCTCATGTCTTACGTATATCTACTGGTACCACCCCTCATGAACCCCATTGTCTATAGTATCAAGACCAAGCAAATCCGTCTCCGCATTGTAAAGAAGTTTGAGTTTCTAAAATCATTTAGGTGACTTCCTCAGGATTATGTTAATGTAAAAGGAGGAAAGTTTGGACATAAAACTCATAGATCTTCACTCTTTTTTTTTTGTTAGTCTCAGCTTATGAAAAAAAGAAAAGAAACAGTAAGAGAAAGAGAGAAGGAGAGAGGAAGGAAGGGAGGGAGAGAAAAAAAGCAGGGAGCTGGATTTGAAGTAGAGCAAGCAGGACTCAAACTGGAAACCACATGGGAAGCCAGCAATGTAAGCATCTGTTTAACCCATTGAACTACAATGCTGCCCCTCACAATTGTCTTTGTATTAATAAATGCTGACTTGCTTGAAATGACTCCAATGTTTTCAATTTTTTAGTGTCCATTTCTACGTGAAAGCAAGTTGAAGTATATATTGATAACACAATGTTATCAGAAATGGTCATATTCATCTAGAGTCGAACATCAATCACTATGACAGAACATCAGTTTTCTCAAATAGTCCTATTCAGTGCCATGTAACCATTATGAAAGGACTCATTTCCTTTTTAATTCCTAGGCAAGTGTTTCACACAGTACTCTCAATGTGACAAATTACTCCAGCCAATATCACATATCTGACCACTGGATCTCAGAATCACGTGATTGTCTCATCTCATAACCTGAATTTTCTGATTAGACTTTGTAAGTTCTAGCTCCCAGAAGATTCACATAGAAGAATTAAAGTAGACGGTGGTAAGCTCTTTGTGTTGTGATCAATCCCTATATTCTTTCTTTGAAGCTGTCAAAAGAATAATCAACAATCAAACAAAATTCTTGGGCCCGGCGCAGTGGCACAGTGGTTAAGGTCCTCACCTTGCATGCCCGGGATCCCATATGGGCGCCGGTTCTAATCCCGGAGGCCCCGCTTCCCTTCCAGCTCCCTGCCTGTGGCCCGGGAAAGCAGTCGAGGACGGCCCAAAGCTTTGGGACCCTGCACCCATGCATGGGAGACCTAGAAGAGGCTCCTGGCTTCAGATCGGCATAGCATCGGCCGTTGTGCTCACTTGGGGGGTGAATCATTGGACGGAAGATCTTCCTCTCTGTCTCTCCTCTCTGTATATCTGCCTTTCCAATAAAAAAAATAATAAAAATAAATCTTTAAAAAAAAATAAAATTCTTCTCTTCCCCTTTCTTTCTCTCAGTATACCTAGTGGCATTCAACCTATCTTCTGTTGAAACATATATTATAGCAAATAATATTAGTTCTCTCCTTGCAGAGCTTAACTTCAGAGACTGTACTTGTTACTTGAGTTGGGAGTAGGGAGGAGGTGAGGAATAAAATGCATCAATTTGCTTTGTGCAATATATTGTATAACTTATGTAATATTTGCTAAATGCATAAACAGGTAAGTGACAGAATATATGGGTAAATATGTGTTATGTGACAAATTTTTGCCCCAAATCCATATGTTGATGTGTCAATTCCCATTATTTCAGGATGTAAATACATTAGGGGACAAAGTTGTTAAGGAGGCTACTGAGTTAAAACGAGATAAAAAAGATGGGCCCTAATTTGATAAAATTAAAGTCCCTATCAAAATTGCAAATTTGTACTTAAAGATAAGCTGGCAGTTGGTGCTGCAGAGGAAAGGCCTTGGGAAGACATACCAAGAAGATGGTTATCTGTGAGCCAAGAAGAGAGGCCTCTGAGGAACTAAACTTGTCAACATCTCAATCACAGGCTTACTGAGCTCCAAAATTGGGAAATAATACATTTCCATTGTTATGTTATCCAGTCTCCTGTTTTATTTGGGATAACTAGAAAACTAATATGACAGATAATTGTGTTTTGGATCATTTCCCAGCTAAAAATGAAAATGTCCACTTAACCTTGGAGGCAGTGGAACATTGTAGAATCTAGATTGAAAACAAATCTTGGGGACTGACACTGTGATGTAGTAGGGTAAGTCTCTTTGATGCCAACATCCCATCTGAATGATGATTCCTGGTTGCTCCACTCCCAATCCAGCTCTCTGCTAACACCTGGGAAAGCAGAAGAGGATGGTCAAAGTCCTTGGACCCCAGCACCCAAGCGGGAGACCTGTAGGAAGCTCCTGGCTCATAGCTTCAGATCAGCCAAGCTCCCTGTTCTTGCAGCCATTTGGGGAGTGAACCAGAGACGGAAGATCTTTCTTGGGATATCCCCTCTCTGTAACTCTGCTTTTTGAGTAAGAATAAAAATAACTCTTAAAACAAAATAACTAAGAAATAAAATGTTGCAAACTCCTAATCCCTTGCAATGGTTACAAATGTCAACCTTTCTAATTCCATCTGGCAAATATGAGACCTAAAAATCTGTGTTTTTATGAGCATCACAAGAGATTCTGATCCAGGTTGTGATCTGGAAAGCATTGTCTCATAACACCTAAACACTCATACAATATGCTCAGTTAAAGTTCCTGGAAGATGGTCACAGGAGGAATGCTGCAGCGTTCTAAAGAGACTGGATGGTCAGTGAAATAGAACGACGTCTAGGGACTGCTTTGGAGAGTATGGTACATTTCTTTTCTTTTTTTTTAATTAATTACATTGTATTATGTGATACAGTTTTATAGGTATTGGGATTCTCACCACCCCTCTCCTAACCCTCCCCCCATGGTGAATTCCTTCACCTTGTTGCATAACCACAGTTCAAGTTCATTTGAGATTCTTTCATTGCAAGCACATACCAAGCATAGAGTCCAGTCTCTTATTATCCAGATAAGTTCAACAGCTTGTTGGGGAGACCTTCTCTGGTCTGAGGATAGAGCCAGCAGAGCATCATCCCAATCAATTAGAATCCCCAACATAACATCAGCAGCAATTCATAACGTTATGGAATTAATTGACATAGTATTGAGTAACCAATATGTTAAAAAAAATGCAAGTTCTTAACCACATCCTGTGACTACTTCATTGACATTTCTATTTTAGTTTATATACAACCGGGTTCTATACATCTTAAAATGGCTATAGATTACTGTTCAGCTGTCCTGTGTCTATTTTCATTATAATATTTAGCATTTTATAGTGTTGAAACATAATTTTGCTGAACCTGGCTTTTTTTCAGGTAGTCTAGACTGGCTTATAACTCTAACAAGACATATGTCAACAGTTGAGGTGCAGAACAGTTTTAGGAGGGATGTGCAGAGAAATCTTCAATACCCTAGTGAGGAGTAACTAATATTTCACGTCTTCCTCACACCTTCTAGGGTGATGGAAGATTTCTCTGCTCTCCCACCCCATTATAGAATAACATAGGGTATTAAAAGTATATTAGGTTTTACAATTCTTTGATGTAGATCCTAAGCAGTCTGACTCACACTGATTGTTGGTTCGTTGGTTACTTCACAATATCTTATTGTATGTGAGATAGGCTGTTTGAGGTTGAGATAATATTACGTTTTACAGGTATTATTTTTCATATTGACATCATTTCACCTTAAATTAAGGCAAATGTGGTATCTAACCTTTTGGGATTGGCTCATTTCCCTAAATATTATGGTTTCCAGTTGGACCCATTCAGCCACAAAGAACTGCATTCTATTTTTTTTTTAATAGCTGAATAGTATTCCATGGAGTAGATGAACCATAGCTTTCTTATCCAGTCTTCTGCTGATGGTTTCTTCAATAAATGCTGTTGGTACAACTGGTTGATAGACTGCAGAAACAAAAAGGTATACCCACATCTCTCATACACTAAGATCAAATCTAAATGGATAAAAGACCTAAGCCTGCATCCAGAAACCTTCAATTTCTTGGAAGAAAATGTTGGAAATACCCTGCAAGATCTAGGGGTAGGTCCCGACTTCCTAAAAAGGACACCAAAAGCAATAGCAATCAAGACTAAAATAAACAAATGGGACCTCATCAAACTAAGAAGCTTCTGCACAGCAAGGGAAACAATCAACAAAGTAAAAAAGCAACCCACAGAATGGGAGAACTTTGCATACTACATAGGTGATAGAGAGCTAATCTCCAGAATATACAAAGAGCTCCAAAACAACCAAAATACCAAAACAAACAAGCCACTCAAGAAATGGGCACAGGAAATAGGCAGACATTTCACAAAGGAACAAACCCAAATGGCAAGCAAACATATGAAAAAATGCTCAAGTTCCCTGGCAATAAGAGAAATCCAAATCAAGACATCAATGAGGTACCACCTGGTGCCAGTAAGATTGGCCCACATATAGGGAAACACCAACAACACTTGCTGGCGAGGATGTGGGGAAAAGGGAACCATACTCCACTGCTGGTGGGGCTGCAGGTTGGTACAGCCTCTATGGAAATCAGTATGGAGAACAATCAAACAACTCAAAATCTGCATACCATATGATCCAGCAATAGCACTCCTAGGAATATATCCAAAACACCTGTTACACGAGAAACCAACATGCACCCCTATGTTCATAGCGGCACAATCAATAATTTCAAAAACATGGAGTATGGTACATTTCTTAGCAGTTACACCTTACACTGCCAGGACAGATCTACTAGGCTGGATACTATTTATGTGGATAATAAAAGCATGTAAAGGGCCTTCTACCATGACCTGTGCAGCATGAACCAGGGTAAAGAGGAACATGTTGTATAACTTGATATAAGAAAGACACAGACAAGATAAAATTGTAAAGCAAGGAGGCAAAGATTTCCTCTCCACAGAAACAAGAAACCTGCTGAGCTCTCCCCAGCATTTTTTATTTTTTTAGGGCATCAAATTTCTCTCCCCATCTTGCAGTAGTCTAAGGTCACATTCCCATTCCCACCGCAGACTCGCCCCTAGACAGCCAGGAGATCATTGTGTGCCAGAGGAGAACAGGGGTGTCCGCTGCGCACACAGGCTCTGTGTAAGCCACCTGCATCCGAGGGTGCAGGCCTTTGGCCGACTGCTGTTTTACATATAGAACACCCAAGCAGGGTTTGTTCCCAGATCTTTCACTCCTTCTTAAACTGTTGATTTCTCTATCCATGAATTGCCTTGGGCTGCCTTCTACTTCTTTAATGTCTTCTCAGTTTTCACAGAGTCGAAAAGTGAATGACTAACCCCTTAAATCCTGTGTCAACATATAAAACCCCTTTTTGGTTTTAACTATTCTTTACAGAATTTCGCATCACCCCCACAGGTCTAAATAGAATACTGTCCCCTATTTGTTACTTGATGCCTCAAAATGGAGGGCTCAGTTCTGAGGATCAGAGACAGAAAGAGGAGATGGACTGCCTTTGCACAGGTAGAGATCAGGTGTACCAGACGTATGCGGCGTCACTGGGAGCACGAAGAACAAGCATACGTACCACGACAGCATCTCCAAAAACTGGCCTGACTGCCTTCTTTGCTTTGATAATGATTAGAACATTCTTTTTTAGTGGCAAATATGGAAGTACTTCAAAAATTCAATGCATATATATGCTATAGGAAAAAATGGGGGATTTCAGATTTTTATTGCATCAAAATAAATGTAACAATTCCCTTTTCCATGTCATTCTGAGGTATCCTTGTACAGTTAAACACAGCATGCACACTCTTGCATTGCATATGCATATACAGTTGCACCGTATCACACACTAAACATTGTCAATAGCACCTACTTTGCTAAGGCTTCTGTTCAGAATTTTTACTGTATCCTTCAGCAGTGATTACCAGGGCCTATTACCCATAGGGTTTCCTATCTGGGAGTCTCCCAAGACCATATTCCAGTCCCCCTTTTTTCTTATCCCAAGGGTTTGAAATAATAATGTCAAGGGATCTAGTCCTGGTATGGAATTAAAGACACTTAAATGTATCTCCATGGGTAGAGTCCTCAGGCAATTGTATAAAAATCTGGGATTTAAATATCTGGTCTCCAATCTCCCCATATCTGCCATGGCCACTGGTTTCAGCCTCCCTCTTTTTGTTGTGAGGTCTGTAGCCTCTGGACCTCATCTTATATCTAATGAATCAATGGAGTAGGCAGATTCTTGGTGCTGCGTTGTGGAGCTGACGTGAAAGCCCAGAAGATTCAACCTTGGCTGTGGTGCAGCAGAGGAGAAAGAACTTTGAGGACAGAATGGCCGCAGTGGGTGCCTACCAGAGATGGTAACTGCTCTTACGCACTCAAGTTTCCATCGTGGGACCTGAGGTCTGATATAGAACTGGCTCAGAGAGTGGAAAACAGGTTTCTCACATCTCTTCTCTCCCGGGGTTTACTGTACTTTAAAGTGATAGTAGAAGCATTGATGAGGCCCAAAGAAGCAAGTATGCTATCTGCACAAAACTGAAGTGCAGGAATGAAATGGGTCCAGTTAATGGTTTGGCATCTACACCTTAGTTTCAAGCACAAGATTAACAGAAGCAGGAGCTATTTCCAAGCCTCCTTGAGATGGACAGGTAGGAAGGAAACTGACCATGAGGAGAAAAAGCTTTGCTGTGACATCCAAGAATATTTCTCTGAGTGACCCAGAATGCGAATAACAGAACTGAAACAGATAATAAGTCCCTTTAGGAAGCGTTCCTCCCAGCATCATGACTCTGGCAGAAAGAACAGAGCCTAAATTCATTCATGTCAGTTACACATTACATGCGTAATGCTGTGTTTTGTGAACTTCACTTTAAACATTTCTCAACAAAATTGTTAAGAATTGTGTACTACCACAGCTTGACTCATTTTTGGATTATTTTGTTATTTATACTAGTGAAGTTGAGCATCTTTTCATTTCATTTTTGTGTGTATCCCTTGCCTATTTTTTGCACAAGTAAGATCTTTTTGTCATTTATATTTGTTGAGCTTTTTATTTGATAGAGCACTAAACCTTTGGTATAATCTAATTTAAAAAATATGTTAACTCAAAAATAAAAATAAAATATTAAGTTTTAAAAAGACTATTTATATTTGCCTTTTCTCAGCAACTGCTTTCGTGATGGTCAGGCTCAATGAAACCCTCTCTAAATCGGAAAGGGATTACTCAGAAGTCATTTAGAATTCTTTATTGTTTTACTAAGAGTTCAAGAGCCTACAGGCTAACAGGGATCCTTCCCAGGCAGCTGCTTCCTGCTTCCTTACGCCCAGTGTTCCTTTACTTCCAGGGTTCCTCCCTCAACCTATCTTCATCATTCTCCTGAGTCCTACTCTGCTCTACCCGCTTGAAAATATGAGGCACAAATTCCTGTTCCAAAGAGAGTCTGTGTGAAGCATACAGCAAGCGGAGGTAGGAACTAGACCTTTATTATTTCTCTCTACCATTTGGTGTTTAGTCTCCGCCCATTTTCAGATGGGCTTAAATAGCTGCTTGTATGTGTTCAGCCGAAGTCTTCCACATTTTCATGATGTATAATTGGAGCTCCAGAGATCTAAGTTGGAATTTCGGTACTATTACTTACTTGCCACCCGACTTTAGGCACATTAATAAATTCTCTTACCCTTCTTTGCTTGATTGCAAAATGAGGCTATATACGAATTTGCAACATTTTTCTACAGTCATTTTTTTTTCATGACCCTACTTTACTTGATGTCAGAAATGTTTTTTTTTTTTCTAACTAGGTTTTATGAGTGGTATTATCAGCCACCATACACTTTGCCAGTCCTGGTCAGGTAAGTGTATTACAGCCCCTCAGAACTTGTGGTAATGAGTAATGTGGTAACCAGCAGTCATGGCCACAACAAAAGTGAAGTAGCACAGAATGGAAGGCAACCTGATGTTGCAGTACACAGTGAGTTAATGACATGCGCTGTTATTGTCACTGGGACATAGGATGAGAGATACAATGTGTATGTATGTATTTGTGTATTTCTCTAATCAGTTGATTAATTTAGCTGAAGAGTCTTCACTTTTTAAAAATATCTATTAATTGCTTCTTTTTATTTTGAATTATTATATTTATGGAAAGAAATGTACCAATTGCTTAGAGACTAGGATTAGAGAAAAGGCCAATTCTTTGATCAAATTCCATTGCACCCATTTATTAATTCTCTGATCTTCTGCTTGTTAATAATTTTCTTTACTTTTCTCTCCTCGTTTATGGCATGCCCCTAAGCATAAAACTTTATTTATTAGGTGTTTTTAAAAGATTCAATATACACCAATTTTTTAAAACCAAACTACACACGATTCAACTCTTAACTGATGGAGAAGGTTATGCCGAACACATGCTCTCTTTGAAAAGATTGTCAGCACTGGAAAACAAAGCAAGTGCCATGACTTCTCTGGGCTCACATACTGGAGGGATTGTTAATGGAAAGGAAGGAGACCACTGATCCAGAACCTAGGTAGCACCCTACCGGTGTCATTGCCCTTTGTCCTGCAGACTCTGATAGACAGCCCTGAAATGCAGGCCAAGTCAATGGCTATTGTGGCTTCGACATCTCCTCCCAGCTAAGTCCCTCCCTGGTAGCTGGATTTCTAAACTTCAGGGAAACACCAGTTACTGTTGGATAGAAGCTTGTGGCTTTGATTTCTTATTCCTGGGGTCAGGAATAGCTTCACAGACAACCTTTCACACTCACTCCAGTTCTCCCTGGAGCTCCATGGGGTGAGTGGTATTTACAAGCTGTGTGAAAGCAGTTTGGTTCCCGTGAGAACAAAAACAGAGGAAACAGTGAGTGATGGGTTATTTTGTTTCTAGAGTTAGGGGATTATGAGCTTTGTGAAGTTAAAACAGAAAAGAAAAAGACAAAGATAAAATAAGGCATGGGGACTTACTTTGCTTTCCATTTCTGACTGTCTGTCCTGACAAAATACACATGTTCTACGTAATAACCCAAAAAACACGGTGAGATATGGGAACAAAGGGAAATGAAAGAATAGTTGGCTTATCGATGAGGACTTGGCAGAAAATAGTCTTGCGAGGAATGTTTAATCAGAGATCTGTTCATCCAGAGCAGTTGAAACCAGGTCAGCGAATATGGTGACGATGCTGCCACCAACAGCCAGAAGCAGCAGAAAGAGTAGTTGCTAGAACCTGGAGAAGTCAGTTGCTGCTGCAGAACACAGATGGCCAATGGGAGCAGTAAGTCAATGGTGGACATGGTTGCTGCTGACCCTCAGTGCCACAATGAGGGAGCCCACATTGTCCTTCTTCTAATGCTCTTCTCTCCTAACTGCATCATGGTACTGTCCACACCTAATAAAACTTCCAGAGTTTAAATAAAGGGCCTTGGTGGGGTAGAGGTCACAGCAGAGTGGAATCAGTGGAGAGGTTGCTATTACAAGCATTTCCCTCATAGAGATGTTGAGAAGAAGCTGAAGGCCAAAGTGAAACAATATAAGGAAGGAGCTACAAAGTTCCAAGGCTGTTTGATTCTAATATCGTCTTTTCTTTTTTGTTTGTTTGTATGTTGTTTATAAAAATGTCTGCCAGGTACAATCATTAGTGCTTCATTCCAGGATTTTGAAGGGAATCCAACTCTTCCCTTCTCTGCACACGCAATGACCCTGGAATTTTTGGAAAACAGCAGCAGCCTCTCCTCCACCTTCCTGCTGACTGGCATTCCTGGCCTGGAGCACCTGCATATCTGGATCTCCATCCTTCTGTGCCTCCTGTATCTGGTCTCTATTCTGGGCAATTGTACCATTCTCTTTATCATCAAAACAGAGCCCTCACTCCACGAGCCTATGTATCTCTTCCTGTCCATGCTGGCTTTCACAGATCTGGGTCTGTCCCTCTGCACCCTTCCTACAGTACTGGGCATCTTTTGGGTAGGGGCACGAGATATTAGTCATGAAGCCTGTTTTGCCCAGCTCTTCTTCATTCACTGTTTGTCCTTCTTGGAGTCGTCTGTGCTACTGTCCATGGCCTTTGACCGTTTTGTGGCCATTTGCCGCCCATTGCACTATGCTTCCATTCTCACCAACACAGTTATTGGCAGGATTGGCCTGGCTTCCCTTGGCCGTAGTGTGGCACTCATTTTCCCTTTGCCTTTTATGCTCAAAAGATTTCCCTATTGTGGCTCCCCAGTCCTTTCACACTCTTATTGTCTCCACCAAGAAGTGATGAAATTGGCCTGTGCAGACATCAAGGCAAATAGCATCTATGGCATGTTTGTCATTGTCTCCACGGTGGGTGTGGACTCACTGCTCATCCTCTGCTCTTATGCCATGATCCTGCACACTGTGCTTTCCATCGCCTCCAGGGCTGAGAGATTCAAAGCTCTTAACACCTGTGTTTCCCACATCTGTGCTGTGCTCCTCTTCTATATTCCCATGATTGGGTTGTCTGTCATTCACCGTTTTGGGAAGCAGGCACCTCATCTGGTCCAGGTGATCATGGGCTTTGTGTATCTGCTTTTCCCTCCAGTGATGAACCCCATTGTCTACAGTGTGAAGACCAAACAGATACGAGATAGAGTGGCTCATGCCTTTTGTTGCTAACCATATCTTGATTTCGGGCATTATCACCTTAAACATATCCTTTCTCCTGTGTCTTAAAAGTATGTAATGTGCACACAGAAAAGCAAACACAATTTACTCAGTACATATATAGAGGGCTAAACAACAAGCCTCAGCTCTCACAGAGCTTTGACGCTGGAGGCAGAAGAGGGTCAGTGAGGATGGGGAGAACCCTATATGGGATCATACAGTGGTAGTGTAGCTCCCAAAATTGGCCATGAAACTGCTTCTAACCCTGTATTCTCTTTTTAAAAAACTTACCCTCTTTATCAAGATACAGTCTATTTCTTTTGTAACTGCTTCACGAATTGAATGTTGTGAAATAGTCCTGTGAGATTCTCAACACTCATTATAAAAGGTGATTCTCTCTCCCTCTCTTTATCTCTCTCTCTCCCTTTCTCGTTTATTTCCACATTTATATATAGCCCAGTTACCCCATCACTATTCTGAGAGGAAGCACAGAACTACATACAAAACTATCCTTCAAATGTTGCATCCAATAGGTTCAGCCAAGGTGTCAGCCTGATCTGAGTCAGTCCCACTACCCACCAGTGAGTGAACAAACTTCTAGATTATTCCATCTTCCCAGCTTCTCCCACTATCAGTCGGGGAAGCACTCAGTCCTATTGATAATAGCTTTAGTGTAGATTTCTTATAAAAATGAACACTTTCTTATGACTCACTAGATAACCTACGTTAACTGTGCTGCTTAAAGTGAACAGTTTACTTGGAATAATGAAAGAGGGGCAAATTCCTTCAGCTGGAAGAAGAAAAAATGTCAGAAAGGCTTTCCCTACATTGAAACAGTAGAACCAACTTCAAGGGACCCTCAGAAGTGGATCAGTCAAAAACTGTAGGAGGAAGCAGTGCTACGTTCCAGTCTCATGGTGGACTTTGGGGCCAGCAGTTAGGCTTGTGTTGGAACATGAGCATCCCACATTGAAGTACTTGGGTTTGGGTTTGAGTCCCAATTCCACTTATGATTCCAGCTTCTTATTAATGTAAACTGTGAGAGAGAGTGGCACCATCTCAGGTACTTTGTTCCTTGGTTGTTAGCTGTGGCCCAGCTCAGATCTTGTTAGTGCAGGTGTTTGGGGATGGGTATGAATTCCCTCTTTGTGTCTAGCTCTCCTTCTCTGCCTCTCAATAACATATCCATATATGTGTGTGTACATATATAAATATATGTATGTTCAAGCCTGAAGGAACAGTGCTTACATAGTTGAGGTAGAGGAGGGAGTAGTGTATTCAGATAATTATATAAAGTGTGGGGTTTGTTAATGCTCTTCCCTCATGTGCCATTGAATATTTAAAAAGAGTGGAAAGAAGGAAGAGAGCAAATCAAAAATGGCCTTGTCAGAAAGGTCATAAGCCAGTGAAATAAGATGAAACACTTTGTTGTGTTCGCCTCTATGGGCATTAGAAATGTGGAAGTACCTCAATACACTAAACAGAAAGGTTTTTATTTTTGAGTAATACTTGTCAATATAGTACTTGTAACCTTATTTGGAGCCATCTGTGGAGAAAGCAGTCCTGAGGAAGATGCTGTCAAGAAGAGTTTCAGACATCTGGAGCAAAGACTCTGGTCTGCTTCTGAACAGCTGTTCTGCAGCATGGAAGACAGAAGCTAAATACCAAATCTGTTCATGCAAACTTCACTTGGGGCTCATCCTCACTCAAGATTGCATTTTTCCCAAGACTATATAGTGCACCTGACACTAGTGCTCTTATCCCTAATCCCACTACCTGTACTTCTGCGTTGTAAGAAAATGGTTTCTGTACTGATGTGTATTTGTGAACGTTCATGTCTTTGTATGAAGGGCTGAAATGAGCAATGCATTCAAATGGAGTAAAGAGGAACATGCACATGAGTGTCATGAATGCTGTATGTCATATGCATCTGCCTGTGTGCATACAGAACTTCAGAAAACCATGAAACCACTGAGAACTCTGAAGCACAGATACAACTTCACAGCCAACCTCTACAGCGATCTATGTTTATATATTCCGTCTTCAGGGGGTTAATTAAAGGGTTATTTTGGTATACAGGAAAGCTTATTAACTCCAAGTAAAATTCTAAAATTTCTGCTCTCTAATCAAGTGAAATGGGCAAATCATTTCATTTCTCTGAAAGCAAAACTGCATTTGAAAATTTTCTAAAATGTCTGTCTCCTAGAGTTATCTATGCAATTTAACAATATAATGCATATGAGTTTCTAAGGTAACTTTTAGCATTTTCAAGGGACTCACAATAAAGTGTATTTCTTCAGATTCTAAAATAAGCACAAAACAGCAGAGTAAGGCATGCCATAGAGAATGTGTGATGAGGGAGCCCAGACATAACCCTAGGGGTGGGAGGGTTTCCAGAGGCTCGTTTCTGAGGCCTAAAGGGCAAGCACACATTAGCTGGGAAAAAATAGGCATTGAATGTTTACTGTTCTCCAGCACAACTTAAGCATTTTAGAGGTATAATGTACAGAAGAAGAACAAAACACTGTGCTCAGGAATTATGCATCCGTGGTAGAGAAAGACAATGGAACAGTGAATAATTAATCTTTTCAGACACTGCTGAAGAAAACAAAGTGGGGTGAGGGCTTGAGAGTGATGGAATGGTAAGATAAGAAAATTCTTATTTGTCATAGAAGTTATATATGAAAAAAAAATTAAGAGAATAACCTTTCAGAATGTTGGAACAAGTACAGAAGCCCTGAAGTGGTAACAAACATGAACTCTCTAAGAACAACAAGAGGGCCAGTGTGGCTGGAACACAGCAAGAAAGTAGCCACATTAGATGATGGATTAAAGATGGTTAGGAGGGACTTGCATTGGTGGTACATGAGTTACACCTCAGCTTGTGAAGCTGCTTTCCCATAATGGAGTAATGATTCAAGTCCTAAATACTGTGCCTCTGACACAGCTTCCCTCTAGTGCTCCTGAAAAAGCAGAGGGAAATGGCCCAACAACATAGGCACTTGTCACTCATGTGGGCTATCCAAATGGTGTTGTTTCGCCTAACCTAGTCCAGGCCTGTCTGTGTAGTCATCTCGGAAGTGAACCAGTAGATGAAAGGTCTCTTTCTCTCTTGCTGTCTTTCAATTTTTTAAACAATTATTTAACCTGAGGAAAGAAAGGTTATTCCATGAACTATGTTGAGAGGGCAGTATTGTGGTTCAAGGGGTTAAGTCATAGTTTGTAACGCTAGCAGGCTATATTGGTGTGTCAGTTCTAGTCCTAGTTACTTTGCTTCTGATCCATATTCCTGATAATGCATCTGGGAAGCCCATTGATGATGCCCCAGGTACCTGGTCCCCTGACACCCATTTAAGACCAGGTTGAAACTCTTGGCTCCTGATTTCAGCCTGACCAGAACTTGACTATTGCAGCTATTTGAGGAGTGAACTAAGAAATCAAAGATAATTCTCTCTGTCTCTTGCTTACTCTGTTTTTTCTTTCAACTACATAAGTACATAAATTTTTGTTGTTGTTTTTTCTTAAAGACGGTAAAGAGAGGGACTGGCATTTGGCACAGATGAGGTATTCTGTATTCCATATGAGAGTGTTTCAGTTTGAGTCTCCACTCAATTCCAGCTTCCTACTGATGCACCCTTTGGAAAGGAACACCAAGGCACAAATGTGTTGAGTCAGTAGCTCCCAGCTGTAGCCTGGCTCAGCCCCAGCTGTCTCCAGCATTTGGGTAATGAACCAGAAAATGGTAATGCACTGTTTCTCTCCCTCTTACTCTCTCTAGACACGCACACATACACGGGCTGAGGGATCTGGGATCTGAATCTAAGGCCGTTAATTGTTCAACTTTGTAGTGCACTGAGAATACAGTTGTGATGAAAGGGAGGATGTGGAATGTCAGTTTCCTATGAAAATCCTGGGATTTTCACTTAAGTGTGGGTGAACAGCCTACAGAATCAGAATGTGGAACTGACTTCTCACAGGCATTCATGGTTCTGTTCATGATGTGACACTTTTCAATTGCCTTCTGTCAACATTCATGGAAATCAATTGGTAGTTGGACAAACGCCCATGTTCATAGAGCTGTTATCTTAGTTGGAATGTCTGGAATGTTTTATTATATTGAGTCTTGATGGACAAGGTTGAAGTTACCCAGGCATGATTTTCTCCAGCCAAGACAAATACTATTTGGAAAAGCCAAAAGTTGACAAAGAGCATAATTTGTTATGAAATTATAAACAAATATTGTCAAGAACTACTCAAATTGGGCTCCAGCACAGTGGCATAGCAAGTAAAGCCACCATGTGAAATTCTGCCATCCATAAAGGATCTGGCTGCTCTACTGCCGAGCCAGTTCCCCACCAATGCTTGCCAAAAACAGTGTAAGATAACCTAGTAACCTCTCACCTGTGTGGGAAACCTGGCTGAATTCCTTGGCTTCAGTCTAGCCAGTTCCTGGCCATGTGTAGCCGTGTGGGGAGTGAAACAGCTAATGAAAGATATCTCTCTCCATCTGCCTTTCCCTCTGCTTCTGTAACTCTGACTTTAAATACATGTAGAAATCTTTAGAAAAAAAAACCTGCTCAAGTATTATACTGAGAGGAAAATGGTATCTTGATGTGCAGCCAGGAAAACATGGTGATCAGAACTTGCGATGACTGTAGATTTGATAACTCATCAACAGAACACCTACTGTATATGAGGCAATGTTCTTCACTTTAGAAATAGAGCAGTGAAAATAACTGACAAATCAGTGGCCTTAGGAGCTTTAAATTCTAACAAGGTTAATCAGGCAGCAAGTTTGAGAACTAAGTAAAAAAATAGTATGATAGAGAGTGGAAAGCAATGTGGAGAAAAAAATAAGCTGTAGTCAGGAAAAATTGTAATTTTGTTATGATCCAAGAAAAACCCCTAGAAACATGATATGTTGAGGAATGGAGGAGCAACCAAGGAATATCTTAGGAAGATGATTCCAGAGAGAAGGAAAAGCCTGAAATGTGTCTACTATATTCAAGGTGTTTTAAGGCCATTGCTGTGTCTGGTATAGAGATGAG